TTTAAGTGTTAGTGCAAGGAAGAGTTATGGCATTACGCATTTAAAGCATAATCTAATAGATCAATGAGTTTTCGCATCTGCTTATTCAGATTGGTTGTTTAAGGTTTCTTTTATTCTTTAAATTAATTAAATAGCTTTGGTATCTTGTTATCTTCTTGGCATTAGTGTTATCTGAAAATGGAATGTGGATTATTTCACAGTATATACTGTATTACAATATATTCTATTTGTTTTGAATGGGACCACTTTGTTTATGTGTAGATGAACGCTTATAATAATAATGAGACATTTTGCTAAGCAGTTACCCAAATTATATCAGTTCTTGAGGGTTTTTCATTTGTTGCCGTGACCGCATCAACTGTGCGGTTCGGTTTGCAGCAACCACTGAATTTAACAGTGATAAGGCAATTCCGACATTTTCTCCCACTTTTAGATGTTACAGAGGTAGATCTTGACATGCATCGTCTCAGGTCTTTTCCACCAGTCTAAACTCACCCTAACTAATTTTAGCTAGCTCAACTCATATTGTTTATACAGGACTATCTACATATACATCTTCACATTACCGGGTAGCACTCAAAATCTACTTCGAAGAATAAGAGTAGGGAGGTTGCTTTAGGTTGCAGTAGTAATAACTGAACGGTTATTTAGTTGCCTTTGTTATAAACTTGGATTTGATTTTTCTTGTTTCATAATGTATCTGTAGGGTAGAGTGACCTATTCCAACTGTATAGTAGTTTTCTTATTCTTCCTGGTAGGGACGAGCAGTGTTAGTTGACACAAGATTCAGTTGGAAAGGTATTAGTATTCAAACGGAAACACAGTACTAATCCATGAAATTGTTGACTGTTGGTTTGGTAAATTTGTTTGGGATCCTCGGGATTCTAAATATTAGCGATTGCAAATTGTTGTTGTTGTTGATATATCTCATAATCGTCCCGTATGGTGCAGATGTATTCACTGCATGTAAACTTCCGAGCTCGTGAATTCTAAATTATATTTCATGTGATTATTTTATCTCTTTTTGTGTTCTTTGGATTTCTGTATTAGGGTGCTTTGATTAAGTGTGACACCAAATTTCTGTGTTGATAGTTCTGCCATTCAACTCATTGAAGCCAGTGTCTAAAGGATGATATCACTTTCTGACTAAAAATGTACACCTCGAACCTGAAAATTCACTACCTCATGTTTCCACCAAATGCAGGCAGTTTTATAGGAATAGCAATGCCAAAGTACTAATTTACCAGATGTATTCAGCTTAGTGAGACTTCCTTCGGATCTTTTCTTCTTGGGGTTCGATGTTAATTGGATATAAAGCATTGTAATTTGGAGTGGAGGTTCTTTGGAAATTGAAATCACGTCAAAAACTGACTCACTGAAACTCAGGATTTCGTTGTTTGGAGTAGGATAAACTGCAAACATTTAATTAATTGTATGTACTGCCAATGTTCATCGCTATTTTTTTTGTAGATTTGTAACTGTCTTTAAATCTAGCTTGGTTTAATATTTCGTTGGGATCTAGGTACAGCCAATTCACATACGTTAAATTATTATAAATGATAATCATTGTGATCATCAAAATGCAAAATTACATGCCTTCACCAGAGGATAATATGTTTGCGAACAAGTACTCCAGAGATGTATGTACCGGCGCTATCGGCAGTTAATGGTAGTGTGGTCCGTTTGAGTCTAAGATTGGGCTGAAGAGGAGGGATATAGGTGGAACAGTGGCAAATCAAAATGCCATCAATCCGTAAGGTTTTTAGATGTTGGTCTGAGCCATGTAAAGAGGTGTAGTCTGCCTGACTGTGGTCGTCGGGAAGTTTAAAACCAATGGTTGTAAACTGTTGGCGACATGGCTCAAAATCTTTCTCAATGGTCTAAATGAATTCACTCTTTATAAACTCATAGATCCATCGAATTTTTTCTCTCCGCGTGCTTATTTATTTTGTACAAATCCGTTCACTACAGGTCTTTCAAATTTTTATTTCCCACTATGATATATGGAATGTGGTTACTTGAACTGTTTCAATTTTGTGCGGAATTCTACGTTGAAAACTCAGTGAGTCATTCATGACAAAAGTGTTGGACATTGGTAAAGTGTAGAACTAGGTTGCGATCTACAAATTGGTGCATCAGTCGATCCCTGTCATACGATTCGCAGCCCAATATTCTATTCTTTACGTAGGCCAGTGTTTCCTGAACAGCACAAAATATATCGTGAATAATTGGCCGAGGTCACTCAGTGGATGGCAGAATTTATCTCTCTTTGCATCCTAGATGCAATTTGTTATAGAGTAAATAGAGCTAATGAAAGTATGGCTTCTGTACTCTGGTCGAGTCGCGTACATAGCGAAATGTGCAGAATGACAGTGCAGCTCTATTTCAAGTGTTGTGTGAGTCTGGTGTCAAACAAGCTTATTATCTTATGTTTCACGGATAAGCCCATATGACACTTACTTTTTGATATGACAGTTACAGAATTTATTCGCGAATGCACACAAGGTGGAAAGAAACGGAATAAAACTACAATGAATAGAAATGTAGAAGTTGTTAAATGAAGAAGGATTTACTGAATCTGTAGGATTATACGAAGTGAATACATCTGAATCCTAGAGAATGATTTTAAGTCATTTCACCAACAATCTGTAGTCGTTAATTTTTAGCATTTTAAGGATCCCAAATAGATAGTCTAAACTAACTTACTTGGCTCAAACCAGCAGTCAACGATTTCATGGATTAGTGGTATGTTTTCGCCTGAACACCAATACCACCTTCCCAACTGAATCCTATGCCAACTTAGATTGCTCATCGAGACAAATGGTGTTTTTATGCATGTATACTGTGTGTCCCAGCCATCTCAGTCACTGTGGTTTCACAACCTCATCTATTCATCTTCTCTGCTTACCTAACGGACTACACCAGAGTTCATTATCACTAGTGATCTTGCACCACTACGCAAAAAAAATCGAAAGTAGATGTCTGTGTGGTTGAAAGCCGTTAATCTTTTCGTATCTTACACTCAGCTGGAAAGGAGGTTAGCGAGGTGCTAAGCAGTAAATACGTCATTTGACGGATAAATGAATACTACCCCTGTGCCAAAGGTGACACAAGTCGGTGGACACAAAGCAAGCCTTTTGTATCCATTTCATGATTTCTTCAGCAATCATTCCAATGCGGCTAATGCAACTTCTCAAGTTTTACCTCCTTAGTGGTCAGCATATTCAACTATTTCACTCTTTATCATGAAACTAGAGTACGGCTCAGATCCTGCAGCATTGTCTTATATTTGGCAGGAGCTAATCTCATGCCGCATATATATATATATATATATATATATTATATAGTTTCCTTCACAAACTGTTTAGAGGACTGCATTTTGCAACACCTTCATATGCGTACTCGGTGTCAATAATTTTTTCCTGGTTAAAAGTCGATCACTAGGCTATTGAAGTTGTTTTAAGCCAAACTTGCACATTATCAGATTTATTTGAAGCGGCAAACACTTTATTTAGTAAGCTTGAATGGGCATTTTAAATATTATGTGGGAAACAGTAACATAGTAGTAACTATATAAAAATTGAGCTGGGAGTGTGACTTTAAACATTGAATATTAACTGAGTGGAGAAAAAGTAATATGAGGTTCTTGAGACAAAACAAATTACATATTAAAACAACAAGGATGGGATAACGACAATGATTTAAATATGAGCTTTTAAATGCAATATATATAGTAGGGAAGTTAGATTCGCACCTTAAAGTTTCCGTTGAAATTGTCGTTTCATGATTGCTTAAGGCACTCAATTATTGCTCAGGCGTAAAGATTCAGATAAGTTGTTCTAGGAGATAATTTTTCTAGTTTTCGACTCAAATTTTAACTCATAAGGCTGTGAATCAACTCCAGTAGCTTCATCCTCACATTTTTGTTGATTATATTGATTTGTTCAGTTTTTTCTACTCCGAACCATGGTACATATGCACATCAGTTATTCAGCGTTAGTGTTTCCTGTGCGTCGGTGCATCGGCGGCATAGCGGTTAGGACGCTCGCCGACCATGCACATGGTCCAGGGTTCGATCCATGGCCGACTCACTCCTTTACCTCGCTAAGCCAGAAATACTGCTGGTGAAGAGGAAAGGTTGGGCATGAGGCTAGCAACCCCATCCTGTAAAAATAATAAATACTGCTACAGAAACTTCAAGCCTCTAGTTTGAAGCCATATGTTCCACTGGGAACGTGAAGGAATAAAAAAGTGTTTCCTGACTTTTGTTGGTGGGTTTTGCGTACACGTCAACTATATGACAAGCTTCAAACATAAATGGCGGGCTTTTGTCTTATGTCTAAAAGAAGTTACGTAAAGGCAGAGGATTGGATTTCCATGACTGAGGCTGCAAACAGTATCACAGGAAAGCCTTTCGAAAAGGCAAGTGGATTGCATCTATTACTAGCGACATTGTGGCATTCAGGGGACGTCTAACTGAATAAATGTATAAGAAAAAAGAGCCATAATGCTCGTCTATTTTTATTTATTTATTGGCTTCATATATGCAACTACTGATGCGAATTTTAAATAGAGGGTATCAAACATTTTGTGTTATGAAAGATGAAATGTTCAAATACAATAATGATAATGATGTATGGTTTCACTTCCATCTACGTAGCTTAATAAATCGAATAGGTGTATCTTACTAGTAATTATAGAAACCACGCTAAAAAAGAACCAACAGTTTCTGGATAATATTCAACTTACTATATTAGAAACTGCTGTTAAAACATTTAATAAAGTACAGAATTTTGTAAGAGCCTGGAAATATTTTCACCTTAAGCAATGTAACCGCTTCAAGTCATACACTAGATGAAGGCTATAATAAATTCACAAAATCTGACTTTCTTTGGTTTCAGGAATAAAATATTGTTCGAATAAAAGGAGATATATGAAGAAAACAAAGACCGATTAAGTGAAGACAAATTCCCTGTTCAACTTTTCAAACATGATAAATTATGGTAGGTTTAACACTAGAGTTCTAATATCTATCATGATGTCAATTTTATGGTAAAAAGCTAATGTAAGTCCTCCCACTTTACTGAAGTGTAGTTCATCATTTGTTCGTGAACATGCTTTCCAATTAGCGCAGGTCTCCGGGCTCTCGGACTGTGGGTTCACGTATTGTGACTTAGGAACCGGGTGGTGCAATGAGCTCTCGATTGCATTTTCGTTGTAGACTTATTCAACCTTCTTTATCATCTAGATTTCCAAACTTCTTACTATTCTTCATATGATTATTAGCCCCCCTCCCGCATATTTTGTTTCTATTTTCATAGGTGGTAATACTTAATAGCATGACAACTTGAATTAGTGCACTTTTGTACAAAGCTACATGTCAAAAAGTCAGCCATTCAGATGCAACTTTGAGAAAAAGTAATGTCAACGTATCCTGTCACTTCATTTCCTGCTCTCAAACTGTTCTTAAATAATCTTTTAAGCGCCAGATATGCATGAAGCATTTAGTTCCCAACTATAAATACAGAGCTTTGAAAACCACGCTATATATAGACAGATAATGCGTTTGTAGTTCGCTATCCATCTGCGAATTTGTCTAGATTATTAGTTACCTATTTTGTTACCACGCTTGTAAAAGTCATAGACCAGAGAATTGTAGTGATAAACAATAAATTGTATCTTTGATCTTTACAAAAATGGTTTATGCCTAGTTATGTATTAGTCTAAAAGAACGAACCGAATGCTAATTGTTATACAGTAATCATATTAATACCTAAATAGAATATTAAACTCAAAATGAAACCGATGTGAGAAAGAAAATAACGGCAGTTGGCATCAATAACTTAAGATTTCCGGTAACTTCTTTAATGAACTCGTTTGAAAAAGGTTAGTTAATGAAGCCATGATAACAATGGGAGATGATTTATCGATTTAATTTACTGTGGTACAACAAAAAAAGGTGTGCGCCATATCTAAAGAGCAACACATGATATAGTGCGAGTTATTTGAAAGTGACCACACCCCTCTGTTATGTTTGCTTAGCCACACCCTCCTTCAGGATCATTTACATTCACCTTATGGTTTACTTTATTTATTTACCTTATTTTCCCGGGCTACTAAAGAAAGACTATAACATATTACACAGGATGTTAAAGGTTGTCAGCAGGGTAAGCAACATGCCACTTAACCAGCTTGTTAATATTCTGGTCGACAGGCACATGAACTCATGTGAAAAATGGGCCAAATCCATTTTATCTAACTCACACCACCCTCTTCCCTCACAACTCTCCCCTTGCATCTCATCAGGTAAAACCAAAAGCCTATATAGAAAACTATATGCTCGCACCAGCAAGTACAAAAACTCAACCATACCTTACTTAGCTCGTGTTCTGTGTGATAAAGAAAGCATTAGGCGTGACACCTATAATTCATTAAATAGTCAGTAGTACAACTGGTTCTCGTCTTTCCAACCCACATCATCAATAGGTACAACATTTTCTTTCTTTTCCTTTTCTCTCTCTCTCTCTTTTTTCCGTTATGTGCTGCTTTGTTTCTTTCTCTGGCTTACGCCAGTAAATATGACAGCTCCTACTTTTCTAACACCTTCAAACACTGTTCAGCTTTACCTTTGCTACCAACATGCCATTGTGTTGTAATAATGAACTGAGATTTCCTTAATCTATGTAGAATTTTATTTATTGATAATTTACTAACTGGATGCAATACTGTAGTGAAAATGCAGAGAATTCCATTCTGTATCACAAGTACTGTTTTGGAATAAAGCAAATTATTATTATTAATTTACTGTCGTTCCAACTCTGAGGAGTCTTAAGACCAAAAAGAAAATGCAGTATTTCTCAGATTCACTGTCATTCTGTGTGAAGACGTCCGTAGAAATTATCTCAAAACCAACCAACCTCATTGGTTGGTGAAAATGTATTCTCTGACTAATAGTATTTGAAGCTTTGTATATTCTCACAAACTACTCCTATGTAGTTAAAGATATTTCTTTCTGTGAAGAGAGTAAATAAAAAAACAACATCATAATTGAGTATTAATCTTCGTGAGGAGTGTTCAAACTATCATCTTATGAGTTTAGATCAGACATGTCAAAATCTTATTTTGTCCTATATAGTTTACACATTTTAAATTTACTTATTTGTACTAATTAAAAATGCCCATTAAAATTTTCAAAAGAATGGTTACTGAACAAAGAATACTCTTTTCGATAACTTCATCATCATACTCTACAGTTATATATACATTATGGTGAATGAATTAGTGTTATAAACAACATTAATATTCAAGTGTTGGTTTGTAGGGATTTGATTGAAGAGTCCCAAACTAGGACGAAACAGCTGTCCAGTACTCCTAGTTTTTCCAGTGGTTCTCTAACCAATGTCAGCTCATGATGAAATCCTGTAAACAGCATTAATGTTATTAAAATCACATCGAATCAATAATAATGGATTACAGTTCAATACCATCAATATAACAATAAACTGAATGTCAAAAAAAGTTAGGAAAGGTAATAATACAAATTCATGAATGTATAATCTCCACTGTAGGCCAGGGCAGTAGTAGTGGCTGGACTTGCTTATTTTGCACATAAAGCACTGGTTGTTTCACGCGAATCGCGATAGCCTCTGCTATTAAGAGCATGTTTATTGGTACCCGGTAGATGATAGAGAAGGATTCTTCAATGCTGGCTGGCTTTGTGGCCGGCCGGTTTGGACCAGATGGTCTAATATCGAACTATCGGTGATGGTTTTCACTACACCTTTGCTTAGCCATACTGGGAGATTTTCTCGAGTGAGCACAAAATATCAAGTTTCTAGAGCGACGGCCAATGTAACTCGCACCACCACAAGTGCAGTTGAATTGGTAGATACAATAGGAAGTGGCTAGTCTAGGTACTTCATCTTTCAATCGAGGAATTACCATAGGTCGTGTAGAGAATAAGACGTGTAGTTCGCCAGCATTAAAAGTTCTTTGAACTGATTTTCTTAATTTCTTCTTAATTATTTCGCTTGGTATATCGCCCTTGAATTTGTTTTTTTTTTCACTAAGTTTCTTTGTATTTCAATATTATTATTATTATTTAGATGTTTATGATTGTACTCATGCTACCACAATAACTCCAGTTTGTATGTTAATATGTACTTTGATGAATATTATTTACCTAACCATGACGTTAACAGACTATCACTCACAAAACTTATCGATCGTATAGATCGAAGAAACCGCGCTATTTATAAACGTTGAGTTTAAATGTGATACCGCTGCTGAGATTCTAAAGAATCACACTTATCCAAATCATTTAGAAAAGCCTTCTGTTCGGCTGAGATACGGATCAAATTTCTACAGCCGACAAATGATCAGTGGATGTGTGCAGCTTTGGGCCACTTCAATGTGTGTTTATAAATTCACCTGTTCCTGCGGACCTAGTTATTTTCGCTACACAAGGCGCACACTTTCCAAATGCATCTCTGAACATTATCCGGCATAGTTAGCAAAAGGACAATGCAAGACAGTTACTAGCTCAATTCTCGAGCATTTGGTGAACTCAAGCCACATAGCTCCCCACCAGAGTAGTCTTTCAAGATTATCTACAAAGTGAGACCTAGTGGTACAAAGGGCGTCAGGTTTCGGCTTTTATGAGTATGGCGGAGGCGTTGGCAATCCGTCAATATAACCCGGAACTCTGTATACAGAAAAAGTTTGTCCAGTCTTAACTTCTTCATTGGTCGTTCCCTGTAAATTTTTAATTTTTAATGATTACTTTGCTTTTACTTTAATAATAATTAATTCACTATTATCACTCTCACATGATCCTTTTGTACGTTTTCTCACCGTCTTCACACCTGTTAAATGGACACTCAACCACCTTTCATCTCACCCAATAACAATTTTAACCTTATCAAATCTCTAACTCTTTCTTCTTTTGTGCAGTTGAGTATTACGTGATTTATAACTTTTATTTTTTACTTTTCAAGCCAATTCTGAGTAATTATATATCAATTATGTCACCACCTATTACTCAATAATAGACTACTATACATCTTTGGTAAATATAAATATGACTGTACAACCTTTGAAGGTGATGTTATAAGAATAGAACTTGTGCAGTGTGGGAGAGTATATATATAATTCCATTATAGGTAAAATGATCGTCGGTAAAAAGAAAATTTTCTTCGCTGAATTGTTTTTTATTTTCTTCATGACTCAATAGGTATTTTCGGTGATCGTATGTATATTTGTTCAAATTGATACTTATTTGTTGTCACAGTGTTTATGTGTTTCTATGTATTTAACCTTAAAAGCGAATTGTAAAAATAACAATTTAATTGGTGGATGGTGACTAGCAGTGGAATCCAGCCAGATGCGCATTTCGTCCTATTTGGGACTCATCAGCCAACTGGATGTACCTACATTCCTCAGTGGGTGATAATGCTCCCATCGAGGCTCGAACCCAGTGACCATAGTTCCAAACGCTAAAATGCTGTCCACTAGACCACTTGGGCCACGAGAGCCACCTCTTGTGCAACGGGCCATATTAATATTGGTCTAGTGAATAACGCTTTGGCGTTTGCAACTATGGCCACTGGGTTCGAGCCTCGGTGGGAACATCATCACTCACTGAGAAATGTAGGTGCATTCAGATGACGAGTCCCAAGTAGGACGAAATGTGCATCCTGGATTCCATTGCCAGTCACCATCCACCAATTAAATGCCCAGACATCGTCGAATCATCTGCACAAGAAGCCGACATGTCAACCTGAAACCGATCACTTCGGTCCAATCAATCGGCGGGAAAATCTAAAATTCAATTAATATGAATAACAATGTTTGTAGAGTATTCAGCTAACGACTTCTACCGAAATTTATGAATTCATTAAACACTGCTGTTTAAAATGTACTTTGTAATTGTTGTATCTCTTCTTATTACTTTTCTGAGCTCACTTTTTGATGTCATTTTTTCTTCCCTCGCACTTGTTTCTGAGCTCTTAGAAATTTTGAGTACTTGATCTTCAACCCTGATGTGCAAGATTCTGTTCTGATCTGTTTATTTATATGTAGTTGTAGCAGTTTATTAACATATGAGTTCATTTGCTTCCTTCTTTTTTTCTAACTTTAGTTTATATGACAACCTAATGTTGTCTATTCCCTTTCATTTGATAAGGCTCATTGTTTAATGACTGACTGGTTTCAACGTACAACTTTGCACAGATGTACAGCAGTTCCAGTTACCACACTCCCTCCTTGTTGCACACAAAGCAAGAGAAGAGTGTGGAGAGAGAGCGGTAATAAACAGAAATATGAGGCAAAAAGAATAGTAATATGGAAGAACAATAGAGTTTTATTGGATATAACAAATCACAAAGAGTGAATGCATCTGCGCCATTGAGAACGATTTTGAGCCAGCCACTGGTTCTTATCATTCCAAGGACCCCAACCAGGAAGCCTCTACCTTCCTACGTGACTGGCTTAAACTAACTGTTGTGGATTTCATTGACTGATGAAGCCATGTTTTGGTTTGACCACCAGTGGCTGTTTTCCAACCTGACCCTATGTCAGCTAACATTGCCCGTCGGTTGAGGAAGGCGATGACTAGGCATACGTAACACATGTCCTAACCATCTCAATCGGTGTAACCCCACAACCTCGTTGATTGTTTTCCCCTCCTTACCTAGCACCCGATTGACGCCTAACTTCAATATTGCTCCCCTTATTATACTACTTAACACGGGAGATAGAACGCAAACACCTATGATCAAAGACAGCTAATGCCTTTTCATGTCTTCCACTCTCAATGGTCAGGTCTCACAGCTAGCCACAAAGGAGGACGGAGCAAACTGCTTAGCAGTACACACGTCCTTTGAGCGACAGCCAGCCGGATATCACGTGTACTAAGCTAGTGATGGCGTAAGTTGGCATATTCCAAACGACCCTTCTGTATCCCTGGTGAGATTTCGTCAGTGATCAACCCGTTAGCGTTGGCTGATGCAACTTCTCAAATAAGTGAACTGGTTGAAGTGTTGAATCAATAAAGTGTTACCAAAAGTTTCAAAAGTGATTCATTCCCAGTGATCTCTCCTGTACATCTCTGATTATTTTTCAAATAACTTATCCCACGAAAGCCAAAATTGTAGACAACACAATTTACGTCAATGTTCACGTCTCGAATCAGGGTCATGAGAGAAACAATAACGGAGCTTAACCTTGAGGAACTCACCAACCAATCACAGCGGAGTTAACGTGTGGAAATATGATTCGCAGATATGTGGCTTGACTTCCTAAGAAACAGCCACAAAGAGATAACAGAATAACCTTCAGCAAGTAAACGACCAATCAGAAGGCATTGATTCTTCGCTAACAATAATGTACAATAATAAAAATCTATAGATGCCTCTTGATTTTCTCAATAAACGATCTGTTGCCTGACCCTTGTCTTCTGTAGTTACAATATATATTCAGATATTATGAACTGTGTGATTATGTTCCTTTAAGAACCGCAGATCTGCACACTAAAATATCATGTATATAAGACAAAGAAATGGTTGTTTAACTGCTGACTCTTTAACTTTGTCTACATTCAGAACTACATTGTATATAATTCTATTTCGTGTTAGTCAATATGTTTTCTCCACTATAATTATTTTATTCCTTTGCATTCCGAGTGGAGCATGGGGCTTCAAGTATGAGTTTGAAAGTTTCAGTAGCAATGGGTTTTTTTAATTTTCACGGGATGGTATTCTTAACCTCACGGCCAATCTTCTCTTTTGATCTGGCTTACTGCCCCGGCTTAGCGAGGTTCAGGAGTGCATCAGACCGGAATGGAACCGGCTACCACATGCGTTACTGATTGGCGAATATTCTACCCCCGAACCGCCGATACTCTGTTATCTCCCTTAGGCTGCAGAAAATAACGAATTTAGAATACCTTTTCTTGATGTTGAACTTACAAGGAGAGCTGACGGAACTTCAAGAAGGTTCATCCATAGGAAACTCACATGGAACGGCCAACTGACAAGCTTCTACAGCTGGGTACCAATCAGTCGGAAAAGAAACTTAATTAGATCTCTTACCACTCGCGTCCGACGCATCTGCAGCTCTGATACCATGGAAGAAGATCTAAACTTCCTGGAAGAAACCTTCATACAAAACAAATGGTTATCCATCAAGATTCGTAGACAAAAACATCAAACAAAAAATCCAAAAGCAAGAAACAGCATCTGTGCCAAAAAAGATACTTTATATGAACCTCGACTTCAAAGGAAACCTACTCAGTGACGTCCTTAAAAAGAGAATCTCCACCTCTTTAAGGAGAACTTTCTTTGCGGCAACATTGAGAGTAGTGTCCTCTAGTTACCCGCCGATCTGCAGAAGCCCAAAAGACAAGATCCCGCACCTGACCACTTCTATGTGTATATATCAGTTCACCTGTTGCTGTGGAGCCAGGAACATCGGTCGTTCAACGCGGATCCTGTCAAAAAGGGTAAAAGAACACTATCCAGCGTGGCTGCAGAAAGGAAGTAATGGCTGCATAAGAAGTGCAATAATAGAACACCTCGTCAACACTGGTTATTCCACCTCAACAAACGTCTCCTTCAAAGTAATCTACAAAGTGAAGAACAACCTTCCAAAAGCAGTACGATTCCGTCTTCTTTGAATCGCAGAAGCCCTAGCCATTAAGCTAGAGGAACCAGAACTGTGCATACAAAAGAAAATTATTCAACCACTTCTATTCTCATGGTAACAACTCCGTTGATTTGACTTAACTTTTGTTTGTAGGCTTATTTTTCTACTCAAAACCCTTGTGTAATTCCGCATGTTATTTTGTTTCCATGTACACCCTGAGTACAACTCTTTCATTAAACTATTCCTGTTGTTACGTAACTCTTCTTTAACAATCGTTTGTGACAACTCATCAATTTTCTAACTGCCCTCTTATATCAACATCCAATTCATCTGAACTTCCTAATTGTATTTTCGTTTGACAAATTTAATGTACACACACATACAAAATAACCGTCATATATATTTGCGATTGTACAGCTATGAAAATGAATTCGCCGACGAAAACAGACTCTTCGCTGAACTACTTGTCTTCTGTCTATTAATGCAGAAAATAAGGCGGCGGTCGCTCAGTTAAGCTCACTGAGCGTCATTATTACTGAAAAGTAACTTTATGTTACTGATGCCAATTCACTTTTTACTCTTATGATTCATATTATGTGTTTGTTTTGTTTTTTTAATTTTAATTTCTGCAGAAAATTATTCTTCATCATCAAACCTCCTGGTTGCATATTTCTCAATCAAACGTTATTATTATTATTATATCTTCTGTTGTATATATTTATATCTATGAATCAGTCGATTAAAGTGAATCAACCTTGTTCTACATCATCAATGCAGGATAAATTAATCATCAATGGAGTTCAAACAAAGCCAAGTTATGTAGACTGTAATTATTGCCATCTGCCGTGTACTACTCAAAAACTTAAACCTAGTAAGTCTGAATATAAAAAGGTGTTTTGATGTTCATAATATTTTGTGGTTGTTGTTGAAAATGCGTTATAATGAAACACTGGATAACCAGGGAGTAGTATCGCACAGCTGTTTCGTCCTTGTTTTAAACTCTTCATCAGCACACAGCCACCGGGGTTCGAACCCAGGGCCTTCCGGTTACAAGGAAAGCTCGCAGATCATTCAGCCACTGGGACCCGATCCAATGACCAGTCTTCTGCCAATTCTGGTGAAGAGTTCCGAAATAAGACAAAACAGCTGTCCACTACTACTCCGTGGTTTTCCAATGGTTCTCCAGTGGATGTCAACTCGTGATCAATCCTATAACCAATCAAATCCCTACAAACCTTTTGAACGCCTTGTGAATATATCCTCTTTTGACGTGTTCCAAGTGGAACATAGGACCTCCACAGCACGTCTCCACTTTATCCGGTTCTCTGCGGTCCTCTTTAACTGGTCCCCCTGTTACCCATAGTCTTTCATCTCCTCTGACGACCCCCTACATGTCACCCTCAGACGCCCCATTCGGGTTCCACTCGACGGCCTAGCGTGAGATGTCCTTCGACTATCTCCTCAGTGTGCATGCAATCCATCTCGATTTCCCTCACCATATTTGTTGAGCAGTTGGCTATTGATTGGTTCGTCCCCAGAGTTTCTTGTTACTAATTCTTTCTGGCCGGCCAGCTGGTCATTTGATCTTCAGTATGTAGCCAGCGAAGGTGTCAACTGTTGATAAAAGTCTGCAGTGACTTGTAGGAAATCCTTTTCGTGATACGCTGGCCAAGTTTCTGACCCGTATAGAAGAACTGACTGACTGAATCATATTTGTGTTGAAAATTCGAATCTTGTTGTCTATGCTGGTTGATTGGAGTGCTGACGATTTCCAAACTGGTTTCAGTTCGTATTCTGGCTGGCTGTGACATCTTCATCCGTGCTATCCGACTGCCTGTGGTTGAAACCATGCTTCCTGGCCAGATAAGTGAATGAAGTGACCTCTGCCAAATCTCTCCCGTTGATGGTGATTGGTGCTGGTTGTTGCTGCTGTTGGTGGTGGTTGGTTATCTTCATCACCTCCGTCTTCTCTATGTTCACCTGGGGTGCTGCCTTCGCTACATGCTTCTTCTGCCAGTTTGTTGGCTTTCGCCTAACAAGTCTTCGAGCTTGTGTGACACTAAACATAAATCATCCACACGCGAAATCCAGGTCTTCTAGAGTCTTCTTATCGGTGGTCCAACGTATTCTTGTCTTCTCACTCCCTGTGCACAGTCTGGCGCACAATCCAGTCCACCACAATTAGGAATATCATCGGGGATAGTAGACAGCCTTGTCCTACTCCTGTATTCGCTTCGGGAATGCCTCGCTGAATTTTCCGTTGTGGGTCACCTGACACGTGGCATTGTCATATAGCCAGCTGTTGAATCAGGTTGATAGAGACTTGGGGCACTGCACACCGTAGTGTTGAAGCAGTTTCCAAATTAATTCTCGGTCAACGCTGTCTGGTGAAGACCTTTTCGAAGTCGATGAAGTTGAGGTAGAGGAGGTTTGACTGCCATTCTATGCTCTGTTTGATGATGATGCGTAGAATTGCAATTTCATCCACACATGATTTACCCTTCCTGAATACAGCTTGTTCTGGTTGGTGGGGTGGAGTTCTGTATTCAGTGCATCTTTTATTCTCTCCAGGATGATGCGACTTTTACTTGGCGTGGACAAGAGCATTATTCCACGCCAGTTCTTGCAGAGGCCTAAATCACCTTTCTTTGGCAGCTTAACAAGGTAGCCAGCGTTTCTTCCAATCGGCAGGCACCTTTATTCCATTCCAAACTTTTTGCAGCAATGGTGTGAGCACATCTGCGGCAGTCTCTGAGTCCGTTTTCAGTGCTTCGGGGGGAATTATGTCTGGCCCTGCTGCCTTCCCAGTTGGCGTTCAATGGCTTGATCGCACTCAAGATTTCTGCTTTCGTTGGAGGATTGGTGTCCACTGGTAGGAAGTTCTATGTTTGCTGTTGGTGGTGGTGTATTTCTGGGCGAGTTGCAGGTGATGGTCGATTCAAGAGTCATTTAAAGTGATCAGCCCATTATTTTATTTGTTTCCCCCCCCCTTGGTAATCAAGTTCCCTTTCACATCTTTTATAGGTTTCACCTGCGTTGATCTCTTCTCGGATAGCGAGCAGCCTGGTTATCTGATATATTGTCCTGAGGTCTCTTTTACCTGAGGCTTGTCTGTTTTGCTTCAGTTGCCAGTCAGTGTGTCGCAGAATTATCTTTTGTCTCCCTTAGCACTCTTCTTAACTTCTTTATTCGGTGCGATGTACATTGAACTCAGCTTCTCGTTCTGTTGTCCATCTTTGCATTGATTCATCTTTTTGAATATCCTCCTTTCCTCCATTAGCTTCCAGGTAGGTGTCCGTTGAGAATCATTCCTTGTCTTGTCTCTTCTTTCTTCCTAGAACAGCTGTACACGTTAACTTGAATATCACCTTCAGAGAGTTAGTTTCAATGTTCTTCCATGCAGGTTTCCTCACTGATACCACGTAGTGTCTCAGACTTTGCTCTGATCTATAGTGAAGGCATCTCTTATAGTTTTGTCCTTCAGTTTCTGAGTGTTGAGCTTGAATTGTGGTCTGTCTCCATTTGTTTTCAGGGATTTAAGCTTCACCTTGAAGGTTCTTCGAACTAGATGATGGTCTGAGCTCACATCTGCTCCAGCAGATTAGCTGCGTCTCCACTTTCTTGAGCAGCATTGTGATGAAATCTATCTGGCGAAATCTATGTTGCATTGTGTATATCCTTGTGTTTGTACACGCTGCCTCCAATCACCTAATCATTGAAGGTACAGAAGTCTGTGAAGAGTTCTGCTTTCTCATTCTTTTCTCCTAGAGCCTCTTGACCCACGATGAGTTCTCTTCCTGTGTTGTCTGCTCCCAGTTCGGCTTGAATTCATATCGCCCTTAAGGATTTCGATGTCGCCATTCGGGATGTTGTCCATTACTGTTTGCAGTTGTCTATAGAGATCTTCCTTCTTCTCTTGTTCCGCAATGTTTGTAGTACTGGATAATTGTGACCCTCCTTCCTGCCATTTGAGTTGAATCTTGCTGTCATGATCCTGGATGAAATTAGTTTCCACTGCATTAGGGCTTTGGTTGCCACTGGTGACATCATGATAGCCACTCACTGCCTCAGTGTACTCGTGGTTGTCGTCTGGGTGGCCGGAGTAGATTACTGACTCTCCAGCTGACAATTCTGATAATCCACATCCATTCCATCTGCTCTCGCAGATTCCCAGCACTTCTATGCCGTATTTTCGCATTTCTTTGGCTACCTGGACAGCCTTCCCAGTCTCGTACATTGTACGGACATTCTACGTCCCCATATTTAGTCTTGTTTTCATTGAGAGAAGGCACATTGGCTGGCTTTCACCAGCCCGCTGTGTCACATTTCGCCTCTCTGATTCCAGCGAAGAATAAGTTTGTTTGTTTATATTTTTAGTATTTTTATTGTGCGTTGAAGTTTCTCTAGCAGTTTGGTTGGTTTTGTGGAGTAGGGTAGGTATCCCCATACCTAAGCGCCCCCCTGTTTACCTGGGCTTGGGAACGGCTACCCAGCTTTTTTTCAATCTTGTTTCATTAATTGTCTTCTATTATATGTTACTTACTAACAGTGTATTAAGTGTGTTTTTAATGTGCCAAGAAAGTACATTGCACTAATCAAGGCACTCTACTCAAACTCACGTAGCCGTGTAAGGGCTTATGAGGAATTGTCATCTGAATTGATAACAACCAGTGGTGTCCGTCAAGGATGTCCACTTTCCCCTTTTCTGTTTAACTTCATCATATATATGCTAATGGAAGTATCCTTAATTGAACTTAACGACTTGGGAATCGACTTGTTACCAAGGTATAGTCTTATAGACTTAGAATATGCAGATGACATAGTCCTGTTAGGGGAGGATGCTGACAAAATGCAGAGTCTTCTGAACACCTTGAGCAGCAGCAATCTTCGTATGTTTGGCATGCGATTCGCCCCTGTAAAATGTAAGATGCTGCTACAGGACTGGACTAGGTCAACTCCTAGCTTAGTGAAAGGGAGTGAAGTGATAGAACATGTTGACCACTTCACCTAATTGGGAAGTCGTATCAGCACCAACGGATTGATTGGTGACGAAATCTCAGGACGGATCCAAAAAGCTAGAGCTGCTTTCTCTAACGTACACCGTCTCTGGCGTAGGCGTGACATCCGACTATCAATCAAGGGACGTGTGTACTGCTCACCAGTTCGCTCCGTCCTTCTCTATGGCTCTGAAATATGGCCGATACGAGTTGAAGACATGAAAAGATTGACTGTTTTTGATCATAGATGTCTACGATCTCTTTCTCACGTTAGGTGGTATAATAAGGTAAGTAATGTTGACGTTAGGCGTAGAGTGTTGAGCAAAGAAGGTAAATCAATTGAAGAGGCTACAAAGTTACATAGATTGAGATGGCTAGGTGACGTGCTGCGCATGCCTAACCATCGCCTCCCCCTCCCGAGGGCATTACTAGCTCATATAAGTGCAGGTTGGAGGAAAAGAGTAAGTGGTGGCCAAACAGAACATGGCATCAATCCATGAAATCCTTGACAGTTAAACTGAATCAGGTAGGGAGAGAGATGCAGACTCCTTCCGGGTTGGGGCCCGCCCTCGGGACTCTAAGAATCAATCAATGGCTGGAGACAATAGGTGACATGGCTCAAAATCGTTGTCAATGGCTTACGCAGATGTATTCAGTCTCTTTAACCTTCATACTCCTTTCTACCATTACTCATTCTGTTTCACTCTTATACTTGTCAAAACTCTATTGATTCTCTTCACTCATTTTCTTGTCTACCTTTGTGTGCTATTTGGAACGTGACAACTGGAACTGCTGCACTTCGGTGCCAAGTTCTATGTTGAATCCAGATAGACAGAGTGTTTTATACTTACTGTTAATGTTTTGATACAAGTTT